CCAGCCTTCTCTGTCTGCTCCGTGTATTTCCCGGATCTGTGTGTGCAGAACAAATGCACGTGATGATGCTTTTGCATTTCTTATTTTTATTTTTTTATCCCATATAATTTATTTTTGAGGAGGGTTGAATCATGGGCACGTGAATCATCTTGCAGACAGCTCTGATATTTTTATCAGTGCGCAAACCCTATTTGCATTTCTTTGCATTTCTCCGGTTTGGATTTGGATGCTGAAGAATCCCTGTCCGCAGGGACTGCACCTGCTCATCTTCTTGGTGAATTCCCCATGGGCTCGGATGCCCGGAGCTTGGCTGGCAGTTAATGTGGACTGGCAAAAGCTTTGCTTTGTGTTTTCTTTTCTGTTTTGTTCTTTTTTTTTGCCTTCTTTTTTCCATTGAGCGTTTTTGCCTTGCAGCTCTCGTAGCGGCGACTTTTCCATTGCTGGGATCAATTAAATGCTCCCTGGGGACTCTCTCTGCAAGGAATCTTCCCTTTTCTGGACGGCTCTGCATGTCCCCACGGGGCGTTCGGCTGCTTTGACCTTGCTGCAGTAGCTCTCGGGGCAGGAAACCTTCCCTTCTCCCCCCATCCCTGTGCTCTCCTTCCCGATCCATCTGCGAGCTCTCCCAGGGCCCTTATGCAACAGCTTGGGCTTTGGTATTCTTGGCTAGGAGAGCCTGGCTCCAGGGGAGAGCTGCGAGGGGGATGGATGGATGCGTGGGGGGAGCAAGATTTCATTTTATAACTTTATTGACCTTGCTTAACCACACAGAGCGGATTTTTTTTTTTCTTTTTTCCCCTGTTGCTTGGAAGAAATGCTGTGTTTTCCTTCCATCTCGGTCCCTTGCTTTCAAGAACGACGCGGCTTTTGGCGCTCTTGTGTTTTGTACTTGCAGATGCATCTCTAGATTTGTCTCCTCTGCAGCTTTAAATCGTGTGTTGCCTCCTATCTCATTTTTTCCCAGGGAAAGGAGATATCCTGCCTGTGATTTTTAGCAACAAAACGGCCTCCAACCCAGGCAGGTCTTTAAGGAAGCAAGTGCTGGGGTCGGAAGACCCTAGGAGGGTGAAGTGGTGACCGAGGGCAGCTGGATGTGTTTGGGAAATGAAGGTTTCCTTAGCTGGCATCACAACCCAAAACACGTTACCCATCTATTTCGAAAGATGATCTAAGGGGTGCTGAAAGCCCCTGAGTCCTTAGTTAAGCTCTACTTTTTTACTGGAGCTTTTGTAACTGCAAGAAGTGTCTCCCTTGCTCCCTTCCCTGTTCCTGAGAGGCTGGTGGCTTTTCCCAGTGTGCGGTGGTTGCTCGCAGTGTGTCTGTGGGGCTGGCTGGAACAGGGATGTTTTGGCGAGTGTATTGCTTTTTAATTTTGGGAGGTCCCTGATGAGCTCTTAAATTTGCATTAATAACTGATAGTTCACTGGGGGATCATTAAAGGGGGTTAAGCTGACAAGATCCAGGGCAGGACGCACCATGTTTAAAATACCAATTTTATATTATGGCAGTGAGTCTCATGGATTAAAGAGATCGTGTTTTCCTTCATGTGTTTTTACTGATTTTTTTCAGCTCTTTTGCTTTTGGGATTGTAAGGGTTAGACAAAATGATCCCACTAGCAAGTTGCAAATGGGAAGTAGTTTGAAGGCATCCACAGGCACAGCTGAGCCCCAAGTTCAATCAAGATTTTTTGTGATTAAGCTGGTCCTCCAGGCCTGAAAACTGGGCCCCTCTGTTGCCCACACTGCACTCCAGGCACAACCCACTGGAGAACGTGTTCCTGGAAGGATGCTCTGAAAAGAACCCACATGGAATAGCACAGGATGCCGTTATGTATTTGGATATGTGTTTCCTGGAAGTAACTTTGATATTCAAGGGTTGCTCTTGGATACAGAGACAGGTCATCCCTGATGCTGTCTGTAGATTTGTTGGCGTGTCTCAGCACAACAGTTGAATTAAGGTTGGATGCACGAGCTACTCTTGAATATATCATAATAATTAATATGTAGGTGAGATTATATATTTTTTTGCTGGGAGAACAGGGTGGAAGTGCGTTAACATGGAGAAGCTTTGGGGTTTTAAGGGGAAGCTGGAGCCGTAGGAATGATTCCTTGGTGCCTCTCACGGACGGGTGGTTTTTATTCCCATCTCGGGCTAGTGCACTTCCAAGTCAATGGAGAGACAGGGATTGATTGCTGCAGGTGCTGGACAGGGCTCCTGGCTACCTTGGTGCTTCATTTAAAAGTAATGTGTATCTATTGCTGAATGTCCCTAAACAGATTAAGAAAGTGCATTGATTCAGAACTGCCTATAGATGAACATAACGGGCAAAATTGATTGGTTTGGTCTATTTTAATTTTCTGGGAAGGGAGAAACATTAAAAAAAAAAAAAAAGGGAAAAAAGCTAGTGGAAAAAAAATAGTGTGGTTCCTAGTGGTGGAATGCAGTTGTTTGTAAGGGCACCTGTTTGCAGGGAACTGAGTGAAATAATATGATTTAAATCAGTGCAATGAATAAGGATTCGGAGGGCCGTGTTGCTGAGGCCGCGTGCTGTCCCCGGGCTGTCTCTGGCCACGGGGCCTCCCTTTTTGTTGCCTTCTCGCCCTTGTTAGGGCTGATGAGTCCCCAGGCAGTCGCTGAGCCCTGGTAACTGCTCGACGAGGCCGTAATGGCCATAAAATGATTCTTATTATCTGGTCCACCCCGTTCTCTTTAGCCCGCGAAGCTGCGGCAGAAAGCAAATTGCAATTATTTTGCAGCGGAAATTGGCATTCCCTCCCTCCCTTCCCCCTTAATTGTTAGGATAAATTACAACTTCAGGAGAATGTTTAAAGCTTTGGGATGATAGAGGCTGTGCTGATACCAAGCCCCATCTCTTCAGTACGAGGGAAATTCGGGGCCCTCCTCCTTGCTCTTCTCCTACATCCTCCTCCTGTGCATGTCCTGTCCATGCATGGAGCAGGAAAGGGGGCAGGGGTGGAAATGCACCTGGCATGGGAAAATATTTTGAGATGGGAGACGCAGGGTTCATATCGTGTGTTCTCCAAGCTGTAGACAACGAGAAACCCCTTTTCAAAGGGCTGTCTGAGTTGGTCTGCACCGTTACGGAAGGGAGAGCGGTCACTGTAAAATCAGTGTATGGAATCATGGTGGTTGGAGAAGACCCTCGAGATGATTGACCCAAGATCCAACCATAATGTAGCCGACCTCCCGTGCCGTAGGAATTCCTCTGGAGCAGGTGGGTCTTTGAGCATCCCTAGCTACATTCCAGCCTGGCTATTCCCTCCTGTCTGAGCCGCTGTTGGGACTCAACGCAAAGCCTGGTGCTTCCCAAAGTTCTGTGCCTGGGATACTCGGTCCTGGAAGCATTCACCTGGCTGCTGCCATACCAAGGATGCCCTTTCTTCTCCATATCTCAAGAATCATGTGCATGAAACCTCCTGAACAACACGTTCAGCTCAGAGAGGATCTTCCTCCTCGTATACATGTGTTTTCTCATTTTTAGGCCACTTTGGCCCATTACTTTCCTTTCCCTGGGTGTCTGCTGTTTGCAGGCAGCTGTGTTCTTGGCTTGGAAACGCACCAGAATGGGAAAGCTAATGTGCCTCCTTGGGGTGATGCCTTCCAGATGGATTTAGCTAATTATCACGATTAGGGCTCCCCTTAATGACCACAACTGGAAATTTATCGACAGAGGTAAACAAGAAGTTTTCATTTTGTCTTTGTGGAAAGTTCTTAATTTGCTTAATTAAAAAAACATGGGTTCTTCTATCACTTAGTATTGCTCGGCTCTCCCCTGCAGAGTCTGCCTGGCTTTCCCAGAGCATTTTCAGAATAAATGCCAGGTTTATTTGGAAAGTTGGAGCGGCTGTTTCGGAGAAACTGTTTAGTTGAACGTTAGGCTGCACTTATTTGACCTGTCTGAAACACTCCTCTCCTTTTTATTCCAATCTTTGCTAAAAAGATGTTTCTTTTCTATGACACATCCCATTAAAGAAAACACGTGTACATATCTGTGTAGAGCTGTGCAAGTTAAATGGTGCCCAAAGCCGTGGGCTTCACTTTCCAGTTTCATGCTTGTGCTTGCTAAAATTGTAAATCCTGTGGGGCAGTGACCCAGCGGGCTCTTTTCCTGGGTTTATAGTGTATGTGTTGCACTGCAAGTGCTTGTGTTATGACTCTGTATCTTGGTCAATCCCAGTTTAAACACCCCAAACGAAGCATCCCAAGTGCCAGAAACTTGTTCTAGCACAGTAAGAACTAAAAAACCCTAGTGCAGCCTGCGCTGGAGGCTGAGGTGTTGCGGGGCAGTACGGAAGGTGCAGAGATGGTGATCTCCAGCGTGTTTTCCTTGCATCCAGGTGGCTGGAGGTTGGGTTCCGTGCACAAATACGCCCATGGAGGAAAAGGAGCTGTTGCCCCCGAGAGTTTTCTCGTGTTTATTTACATTTCATCAGTAGTGGGTTGCAGAGGGCTCGTCCCACGTGTGAATGGAGGGTCAAAAGAGCTGCAAAGACTCCAGTTCCATGTGCGTGGCACTGTTTGCTGGAGACTGAGCTGCTCCTCGCTCCTACAGGCAGTTCCCTTTGTAGTCAAGAGTGTTCTAGGTGATGTGGGTCAGGTGTTGAACTTCACCTCTCCTGCTCTGCTTATGTGGGACTCTTGGTAATAAACATTCTGGGGAAAGAAGTTGGTGTTTGGCGTGGGTGAGACCCAAAGCAGGAGTGAAGAGGTGGGCAGAAGCTGGAAACGTTTGACTTGAATAAGAGCTAGGTGCAGATATGGCTCTGCTGGAAAGACCTTTGTAAAGGAAGCATGTATATATATATATATTTTTCTAAATCAATGTGTTTATTTGAAATCTGCAGTGATCAACAGCACTGTCCTCTCAGGACGGGCATTTGAGAGGAGCTTCTTGCTTTGGGGTTGTCTCAGCAAATTCTTCTTTTCTTCTTTTCCCACCTTGCCCTCTTCTTCTCCAACCACCTCTTCCCTGTGCCAGAACCGGGGTCGCCTGGCAGAGAAGAGGACGATCCCGCTGCCTCCCACCCGGATCCCCAAGAAGGAGCTGACCTCTATCTTCTCGCATAGCGATGACAGCGAGGAGAGCGACAAGGGCAATGGTCTGCACCCTGAAGTGAAGCAGGAGGAGGATCTCCATATCAGTATCATGAAAAGAAGGTACTTTCCTCTCGGGAAGCACTTGCATTGCGGGAGCAAAGACGGGGAACGCTGGACAGCAGGTGACCAGCCCCATTGGGCACCTAGTGCCTGGGCTGCCCAAAAGATACCCCTGGGGTCAGAAAATAATCGTGCATCATCTTGAATTGTAACACAAGGAGGATGCTTGGTCCTGCCATGTGCTTCCTTGCCCCAGTTTGGGCTGAGTAGAGCCCTCTGGGGTCTTGTGCATGGACCTTGCACCAGAGGTTAGCGAGATTTGCAGACTGCAGATTTAATTTCACTCTCTGTCCAGTTTTCTGTGTCTTTGAGCCTAATGGTGAGCGAGGAGTCGTTTGGGGGCCTTTTCCGCAGCAATGTTCTTGATTTGAAGTGCCAGATACAATAGCTATGCCTCATAGAATCAGTAAACCCAGATTTGGTGTCCCAAGAGGTCCTCTGTAGCGTAAGAGTGGTGGTCATGGAGCTGCCGCATTGAAAATTCACTCCAATATTGGGGGGTTACCTCAGCATTTACATATTTTGAGCACATCTTTCTCTGTGCTCATTCTTCCTGGAACTACTGCAGGGTTGGAGGGTCTTGAGCTACGTTCTGTAGCTGTCACTTGGGCTCCTGTTGTAAGGTCTCAGCACCTGTAATATTTGCCTGCGGAACAGGGTGTTTTTGCATCCCTCTGAAGATATATGATGTTTATAGGATGTATAACTACAGGAAAATAAATACCTAAAGGTGTTGTGTCTCAGCCTCTCATGCATATCATGGCAGCTCACCTTGATTGTCATCTTTCTTTGATGCATAAAATCACTCAGATTTGAAGACAAGCCCTATAAAAACAGAGGTGTGGAAACTGAAGGGATGTAATTACTTTTCTTATGTTTTATGTGTTTCTTGCTCCAGAGTAGCTCTTTTCCTCTTGCCTTCAAGCAGATGCCAGTACATTTAGCAAGCAAGAGCTTGGAAGTAGGAAGACTAAGTCCTTCTGCCCCCCCTTTCATTGCGCTTTCGACTCTGTAAAATTACAGTGCTAGGTTTTCTCGTTAGGCGTGGGACTATAACGAGTATAATGGATATGCTGAGCCCCCAAAATACGAAGTGCTCATAAGTTTTATTGACCAGAGCAATGCTACATGTGCTGAGCAATGAGCACGAAGCGAGCGGCGCCGCTCTTGTGCGGAGGGAAGATGCTCCCGCTGTCATCGGTGTCCCGGGGCTGGACGCAGCCTCACGGAGGCTAGACGGGCCCAGACGTGACAGCTGGGGCCCGGCCCCATCTGCTTTGTGGTGTTAATTCACCTGTTGGATCCTCCCCGAGCGGCCGCGGATTGGGCTGAGCTTCTCTTGCCTCCTGCCGCGAGGGAGAAATAGGTTAAACTGCGATAGCAGGGAAACAAGGTCAGGGCTTGGCAAACCCACGCTCTTCTCTGGTAGCCCGGGTGGCCACTCTGCACATCCGTGGGCATTTACCACAGCAGGCAGGTGCACTTGTTTTTGGAAGGTGTTTGCTGCCTCTTTTGTCTCCCTTTCCCAGTTTTCTGTGTATCAACTGTTTCCTCCCACCTGTGGCACCAGGTTATTGCTGCTTGGAGGTCTGGACACTACGAAGGAAAAGGCTCTAGGGGTTAGAGCAGGAGCTGAAACCTTAGCTTTTTGGCTAGTCTCTCAAACCAGCTTTTGCCACTGATTTCACCTGTGATGTTGGGCACTTGCCTTTGGAGATGGCCTGAGGGAGATGGGACCTGCCCCATGATGTCCTCGCAGCACCAGGGAGCCTGCACCCACCCCTGAAGCTACCCAACTTCATGGAATGCCACCTTAATTCAAAGCAAGTCCTTCTAGAACTGTGCTTGCTTGCCCACGTGCGCCTGCGTTGTGGAAAGCAACTGGAGCGAACGCGGCCCGTGGGATGCGGGATCCGGGGCTCAGCGGCGGGCGCCGCTCCGCGTGCCCTGAGTCCTCCTAGGCCGCTTTGCGGCGCGCGCTAAGGAGCTTCGTTCTGGCCCCTGTCTGGAAGACAAGGGCTTAAAACCCTGTCTCATAGAACCCGTGGCATCTGCTGAGCTTGATACTGTTCTTGATACCCAGCCCGCAGGCGCTCAGGGGAGAAGCTCTGAGGATTACGGGGACGGTGCTGCCCAGAAAACCCCTTTTCTTCTGATCAGATTTCTGGTTCCTGAAAAGCTTAGTCTGCACCAACCTTGCCCGCATGCAGCGTTGGCATTGCCCAAATTGCTGTGGTTATATTCAAGTTTTGCTGGTTCCTGGTGAGGATGTTTGGCCATTGAGATGACTTTTTTTTTTTTTTCCTATTTAGGAAAAAGAATAACATGAATATAGAGCATTTTAGTTTATATTGGACACAAAGCAATGCAGAAGGCGTTTGGGACTGCAGACTCTGTTGAAGTGCAGTAGTTTGGGGACGGTAATTTTGGGCTCATTACCTCGGCCAAGGCCTGTGAGCTTTTCCACACTGGGGTTGAAGCTGCCTTGAAGGAGTTCCATTAAATTATCCCTAGAATCTCCAAACAGAGGAAACATAGAGCAGCTGTAGAATAAGGTTCAGCTTAAACAGCAAGATCCTCGTGCAGTGTTGGATTTTAGCCCAGCATTGTCTTGCGGGTGCGTGAATTTAATCCTGTTTTAAAGGCTGGCCTTTTTTATTGGTTTGAGAGCAAAGAGGAGAGGGGAAACATCTGAGATTGGATACGAGAGCTTGGGAACTGCTCACTGAAACATGGCTTTGGCTAACTCCCCAGTAAAATTCAATGGCATGGCCTGGTAAGAGGCAATAATACTTAAGCACCTGTTAAAAATGGTGAAGGTTTCTGACTTGACCAAGCATAAAGGCTGTGAAGGAACCCTCGTGGAATATCATGTAAACATGTCCATTGTACTGAGTAATGGGCAGGATGGGTGCAAATGGACCTGCGTAGTGAAAATGCTTTTGAAATTTTTAATAAAAAGATGAAAAAAAGGATTAGGAGCAAAAGTAGGAGCAGATTGTGCAGTGAGAGCACACAAGGGGCTGGGTTGCTTGCCAAATATATATTGCTCTGAAATCAAAGTCATTTTGGAAAGAAATACGAGGTTAAGTATAGACACCGTAACAGAATGTCTGTGCACTGATGAGCAGATTTCTGGACCGTCTTATATTGCTCTTAAGTCTGTCCTCTATTTTTTGGTCCTCTTAACCACAGGAATCCCCTCTGCCTGGAGCATCAGTGTGAGCTAAGGGCTTCCGCCTGGCCCGGGATTAGGATTTTGACTCTAATGGGTGGAAGATCCAACCCAGGCCCCCCTGTCCCCCGTTCTGTGTCACTTGTCCTCCAAGGAGGGACATCCTGACGGCGTGCCCGGCACATGGTGCTGGCTCTCGTTGCTCCCATCCCTTGGTGTAGGAAACCACCCGACGCTGCTTTTTTCCCCGCTGCCAAAGCCGAGGATTTTGGGCTAAGCTGCTGAGGCTCCTCCAGACAGCGACTAAAGCGGCTGGACACATGGCAGAGCAGGAAAGGCTCCAGCTTCCAGCCGCGAATCAGGCTCCTAGATTAGATTCAATAGCCCTTCTCCTAATTGCTGTGGTTCAAGAGCAGGGGGGAGGCAGCGATGGCTGCAGGAAGGCTTTGCTGCTGCTGCTTGCACAGTTTCCACCGGTTATTTTCTATTAATTGCAAGGTGACAGCCAACCCCTTCCTCCTCTCCAAACCTTCATCTTCTCCTCTCCTCCCTCCTTCCTTTATTTTTTCTTTTTCCCTCTGAACCATACACCCCTTAATAACAATCATCCTATTCAATAAATATATTAAAAGTCCATCCGGGAAGTGAAGGCTGGATTTGGTCCAGAGTGCCAGGAAGCGTGTCGTTGATCTAATGAGGACGTATATTTAAGAGGGGGAGAGACACAGACAGAGGGAGGGATGGAGAGGAAATGGTTACTTAATTCTTAGGGATGCTGCAGGATGGGAGCTGGTGCACAATAAGAAATCCCTTCTTGCCCCGGAAAAGTGTGAGACTGGAGGGAAAGGTGAGGTGTGGAAAGGAAAGCCAATGCCATCCTGACCTGGAAATGCTCCTGGCTGCTCCCTGCGCCTGGCATTTACGGCCTGAAGAATCACCAGGATGCTCCGATCCCAGCCCGCTCTGTCCGTGTTCTTGTCGTGCGGAAGTTCGGGATGGGACGTGGGGGCTGCCCGGCTCCCTGCTGGCCTCTCCCGTGGATGCCCTTCTGCTGTGGAAAAGTCGAGGGGGCTGCTAGGGGAAAAAGAAAAGAAGGGGAAAAACTTCAAAATTAAAGAGTATCCCAGCTGCTCTCTGTTATTTTGCCAACTCTGTCGCTTTCTTTTCTGGGCTGGATTCTCATTCCTGCACAAGTTCCAGCTCTGCCTCGAACAGCCTCGGCCCTTCCTGTCGAATCCCTTTTTGATGCGTGCACACATACAAGTAATTGCAAACCCAGCTTCCTTGGCAGGCGCCCGCTCCGGCGCTTCCCTAATCCCCCCTGTGCCGGGAACCGGCTGCTCCTGCTGCTCCGGGACCCATCGGACCCTTTGGATCAAACACTCCAAGCGATGGCTGAGGAGGTGGCAGTGACGGCAGTGGGACCTTCACTCGCCTGGCTGTGTTTTTTGTTTCCCCCCTCTTCCTTTTTTGTTATTAATTTGTAAGGACCTGGCTCCTGCTCTCCTGCAACCCAGGGATGGGCTTTTGTGGCTGATAGCCTGCAAATTATTAGTAATTTGATTTCAATTGGCTGAATAACCCGTTAGAGCAAAATGCACGTTAGCCTCAGCAATCTAATTGGCGATAGCGGCGTGGAAACGTGGAACGAGCGCTTGGTTCTGCTCCCTCTCCCTCCCGCACCCCCCAAAAAAAGATCATTAGGGCTTAATTTCATTTTCACCTATTCATTTATCTAAATATGGATGTTTAATTACCCATCCTGATTTTCTGCAATTCAAACTTCAACTTGGAAATGCTCTTGTTCCTGGATGAGGGCAGAGACAGGGATGCTTTAGGGATGTACAAAATACGTAGAAGTGCTTGGGGCCTCTGTGGACTGTGGTATTTGCAGGGGCTTCTGCTTGATGCTTTTGGGAATCTCCATGTGCAGGAGGTGACAGTCACCCTTAGGACCCACGTGGCAGCAGGTGGAGGGATGTGGGGGGCCCTGGGTGTGCGGACGGGCTGGCTTGGCAGTTTGGAGAGGACAGAGACCTTGTCTGGGTAGCGGGGGAAGTTAATGCTCCATAGTCCTTTGGGTTGGTCTGGGTGCTGTTTCCTTGACTAAAGTAGAAAAGGAGGAAGAAAAAAATCACACAAAAAACCCCAACCCTCTTGGCTCCATCCTAAATCTTAATTTAGGCTGTTGTTCATCTAGAACCTGCTGTTCCTGCTTGTCAGCAGGCAGAGTGGCAGAACATGGAAAATTAATTTCCGAGGTGGGAAATTGCTAATAATTTATTTACAGCTGGGGCGGGCGTGGAGGAAGGAGTGCAGAAGAGGCACGTTTGGGTTTTATTTATAAAATATCAATGTGCCCCATGCCTGTTCGGGATCTGCATGCAGCCGAAAGCTGCAATTCTGCCAGCAGAGCACGGCTCCCTCGCAGGGCTCCCGCATGGGGCCCGTGGCGTGTCCTGCACCCCGTGGCGTGTCCTGCGCCCCGTGGCGTGTCCCGTGTCCAGGAAAGACGTGGGAATTGCAGCCAAGGGTCGCGGGAGGGCGGTCGTGGTGGAGCCGCCGAGTTCAGCCCGTGCCACTGACCTCTCTGTTTGTTTGTTAACAGGATACACACGCACTGGGATTTAAACATCTCCTTCCGAGAGACCTCTTGCAGGTACCACTTTGGGGCATCCTCTCTTTGTATGGTAGGCTAAGAGTTTGTGATACGTTTTGCTGGCATATGGATGCTGACAGATGTAAATGAGCATTTCTAATTGTGGGTTCTGTGATTTTCTTTTCTTTCCCTTTTTCCTCTTTCCCCATATTCTTTCTTTTACTCTTTTATTTGAAGAAAGTTCTCTGTGGGGTTGGGGGGAAAGTCTCTTTTATGGTGGAAAAGAGCACCAACTTGTAAAGAAAACCCTTATTATTTTGATACATGTTTACTCTGGTCCTTTTTTGCAAGAATGCAAAGTTGAGGTAGCCCAGATATATTTCATAACGGGCATGGGGCTTACATCTCATTTGCAAAACTGATTATTGTTTTATAAGACAAGGCCAGGCTGATTAATGCCTCCGAGTTGCTTGGAAGCTGCAACGTTGTGCTCAGCTCCTGCCTTAAATGTGGGCCTGTGTCTGCAAATAACAAGAGCCACTGCATAACAAATACTTCTATTAAGTATTATATTAATACTGAGACGCCCTGGTTGTGCGAGACCTTGTGCATGTAGTTGTCCTGCTGCAGTTGATAGGACCCTGTGTTTCGCAATGTGTAATACAAATGGGGTGAACTTCTAGAGCCACAAGTGCAGAGCAAAAGAATTTACGAGCTGGTTTGGGATAAAATATAATTTAAGAAGTGACCGGTATTTTACAAGACATATCTATCTGTATAAATATATACATAGATATATAGGGGCCTGAACTGTGGGACTGGAAAGACTGACAAACTAATCTCATATATTGGTTTTCAAGTCTGCTTTCCTGCAGTAACAGATATCTGCAGAAGGTGGGAAGTTGCAAAATGAAGATGGGCAGTTACGAGCAAGGAATATTCCTTGTGATCTCTGAAGTGATCAATTGATATCTTGAGCACGATGTTTAATAGTGCATTTTCTCCATGCGTGTTGCTAGTAGTTGTAACTTCCAATCCTTCAAAAATACCGTTGATATTACTTGCTTCTGGGAAAACACAGCTGGAATTTTAGAATGAAATCCCTGATTTTTGCTTTAAGCAAGTCTGAAGTTGCCCATACTATCCCCATGCCATATTATATTGCAAAGAAAGTCATCTGTGTGTTTACGTGTCAGCACAGAAAAAAGAGGTTACGTGGCCTAAATTCCCTTCACGACTCTGTAAAATATCTGCCATATCTAAAATATATCGTGGGATGGGATAAAGGTGTAACTGACCTTCGTTCGCAGTCCCCTGCCCCGTTCAGAAAGTTGTGCAGGTTGGCTTTGGTTTTGCTTTCCAAGGTGTCGGGGATACCTGGATTCCGTGGAGTGGAACCGTCTCGATGTCACTGCCTGCATTGCACCAGGTTAAAAGACATTTAATTGGGTGCAAGTCGCCCTGCGTGCAAAGAACCAAAAGTCAAGGTTGAGGAATTGTCCTGAAAGGGGCGATTAAGATCTCTCCTCCTACCTGCAGGTGCTTTGCTCCCTTTCCTCATAAGCTTTTCAAGTCAACGCGGTGCCTAAGTTTGAGTTTTAAAGTTTGCAGATATGCTTCCTTTAAAATTGCTTTTAAAAGGGAGAATCCCTTGGTATGGGCATATTGTCACCTGGAAGAACTGGCTGGAATTTGTTGAAATAGTTCAGCAAATGATGCGCTTCCCCTTTTGTGTTAAGAAAAGCCTCTCGAGAAGTTTGGAAGCAGTAAGCACGTGGTTAAGGCCTGGTCTCCACCAGAAGATGGTTGTTCTCTGCTCCCACTGCTTTCAGCGTGAGTCACAGACGCTCAGCACCGTAGGCAGTTGTGCTTTTCTGAGTCTGGAGCAATCATGAAAATAGGTTATGGAAAAAAGAGGAGTTTTTGGTGGGAAAATCATTTTCATCTCCCCTTTTTTTTTTTTTTTTGACGTTCTGAGGGATGTCTTAAGGGAGCTGCAGAATGAGTGAGGAGTTAGGTAAGGGGCTGTGCATGTTAATACTGTGCAGAGAATTGAATATTCCGCCCAGAGGAGATTCTTGGGATGTTTTCAGTGGGATAATGTCCCCTTGGCCCTGGGGATAATATTTTTTCCATGGATGTGTCACATGAAGACTTCACAGAGTCATGGGAGGAAAGCAAAGGCACCATTTGCCTAGAGCAAATAAGTGGCATTTAACAACTGTTCTTTAAACAAAGATTATCGTGGGGTTTAAGCAGCCTTTCTGGATGGGCTTGAACCATGTTAGGATGTATTTTAAGCAGACAGACATTTGGCTAGGAGCTTGTGTATCCCTGGGCATGTGTTATGTGTGTGTTTAAGTCTGACTATAACATACTTAACGGCCCTTTCTCCATTTATTTAACTCTGGCATAAACCCTCAGAGCCAAGACTGAGTTTAAACAGCAGCACTTAAACTGGGCCACGTGGAGGAAACAGATGAAAAATACATGGTAAAGGGGGCAGGAGAAGAAAAAAAGAATGGAAAACCACTGATTTAGCCCATTCCTTTGGAAGGTACGAAGGGAGGGGGAAAGAAAGCGGGAGAGGAGGAATGAAAAGCAGATGGTTTTGAAGGAGCTGAGGCTGGTCCTGACTCAGCAGAAGGCAGCGCTGCGGGACGCAGGTAACGTTATCAGCCGCGGGAGCAGATGCTGCCGTGCCCTTCAGGGACTGCTGTGGGGCAGCCTTCGGGCTGCTGGCTTATTTGTTTAGCTATTTTTACTAGTAAGCTACTGCCTTTTAATGTAGGAGACCCCCAAGTAGGGACCGGGAGGCTGCAAGAAGATTTTAGCAGCTGTGAAGCTGCCTCCACAGCTATAGCCAGCTAATAAAATTCCTGGTGAATTGTATTAGTAGTGAGCGTGTTAACTTTGCCTCTGGTTGGTGTGGGAAGGCCATTTATGTAACACAGAGCTGAGTTTGGCCCTTCTCAATTAATTCTGCTGCGGCTTTGGGACTCAAACTGCCTGCGGAAATGATTTAATCCTCATTTTGGCGGATCGTACAGCGAGCCCTCACCTTTGTAACTGTTAAAATTAAAACTCTGAACCGGGACGTGCTTCCTGAAGGCAAAGCCAATAAAAACAAGGAACCTCCTGGCTAATGCCTCGGTTGTTGGCAGTCAAGGCATGGCTGTGTGGAAACCGTGCGTTGGAAGGAAAACACTTTCCAGATGGGTGAATGCAGTTTGTTCAGCAAACAGCGACATACCTGCGTGGTTCTAGACAATAGTTGCTCAGCAGGTAAGTAGAGCTGCTCTTTTGTTTAACTGGAAAAAGAAAAATAGTCTAAATCCACACCAAAATGACATAGCTGGTGGACATTAACAAGAACATTTTGGGTCAGAGAGAAGAGGGTTTGGGAAGGTTCAGCCATGGAGTTAAGCCTCCAGTTATGGAGAAAAATAGTGCTTTGATCCCCAAAGTGTCCAGGTGGAGATCTGGGAATGCAGAGTTTGAGATGAAATGGAAGGAGCTGCTAAATGTTTTAGTATGAGCCTGAGGTTCCACCAGCTGCCATGAGGACTTCAGACCTCAACAGGCTGCTGTTTCTGTGCGATAGAGTGGATGGGTCCTTTTTGTATGTGGTGTAAAAGTCTAAGACAACCTCTATTAACAGGAGGCAAAGTCAGGCTTGACTTTACCCGTGTGAATGGGAGGGTTAGGTCTGGGATTTTCAGGGGATCATGTAGTGCAGACTGACCTGAGGACTTTGGCTTCTGTCTTTGCCAAAGATTGGGTGTTTCTGCAGGTTCTGGGATGAACATAGTTTTAGGGAAGAATGGAAAAAAAAAATGGGGAGGAGAGAATTACTATCCACTTGCTTGGTAAAGAGTATTAGAGAGTGTTATTTCATCGGATTTTAGCAGTATTTTTTGCTCTCTCACTATAAAGGCAAATAGTTCCCTAACAAACTGCTATGAGCTTTCATTTTAAAGCTTGAAGAATATAATAAGGCAGGTGAGTCTTTTAGATGCCTACAAGGGTGGAGGGCATGCACAGGTAATGCTCTTCACATTTATCCCCATATGTTGTCTTTAATGTATAGCATGCCATGGGTGGGGGTGTCTATTGAACATATTTAATGGGCAAAGAATTCTGAATAAACTGAGCCTGTGAAGGCATCTTGAGACCTTGGTATATTCTTGGTTAAAGCTTTTGGAGAGCATGCTTGTTACATTTGGGTGCCATATAGAGATGCTAAAGCAAGTCATACTGTTCTGCTTTTAAATGGGGTGCTGGCTCCAAACCTCAGGGGCATTTCTCTAGAATAGGAAGTTTTCTGACTTCTGTCTTCCCACCTTCCTGTGGAGGATTCCAATTTAAGCTTGTCCTTAATGCATTGGATATGTGAGTGATTCCTGTAGGCCATCAGCTCTCAGTGTTCACTGTCTAAACTTGCACCTTATTACCCATTTAAAATTACTTATCCACGTACTATTTTAATATTTCATCAGTTCGAACCAGGCTGCCTAATGAATTGAGCGAATGAATAGAATTTGGGTTATTTAAAGAGATCTTATATCCATCAGGCATACCAGCTGCGTGTCAGCGACGCGTTCCTTGTATTGGGCAAGCAAAACATTTCTGCTTGCCGCTTACTCCGTAACTTTGGAACGTAGCATCCCGACAAGTCCAAAACTTCAGGCAATGCTCTGCATGTCACCAGGAGAAGCCCTTTGATTTTTGGTGTAAGTCAGACCTGCCAAAAAGAAACCCTCAGGGACAAAACGAGGACCTCCAGGCTGCCTGGTGCTGCAGGCGGGGAAATCTGTTGGCAGTTCCCTGCACTTTTATGTGCACGCAGGCTTTGGGGAGAGGGTTATCGATGCCGGCTGTTCATCGTGACGGTGACAGAGGTCCTGGTGACAGGCGGACACCTTCCCGCTGTTCCCTTTGCTGCGGTTGCCTTCCCGGTTCTTAGTGATTTTTTAATTTTTTTTTTTCCTCTCGTGGTCAAGCCGAGCTGCAGACTGTGGTCAGGGAGGGATCGATAGCGTGGGCTTGATGGATGTGCA